CCGAGGCGCCGCAGGTGGCAGCGGCGGCACAGCAGGTGGCCCTCGAGGGGGTAGCAGCGGCGTCCGTCCTCCCCGCTCAGCTGCAGCCCACAGTCCTAGGGAAGAACACAGGTGAAGGGCGGGGTGAGGGGGGAGCGCACAGCGAGCACTGCGGTGGCCCAGCGCTGGACACACCCACTGGGGGAGCCTCATGAACCCCCAAGAGGAAATAGCTGGATACAAGTTTGGCGTCTGGGAGCAAGGGCTGGTCAGCAAATGTGGGCATCAACATGACCAACTGTGTGAAATTGGGCTTTTAAAACTTTTATTTTGAGTCACGGGCTTGCTAAATTGCCTACACTGGGCTCCCACTCGTGATCCTCCTGCCTCAGCCTCCAACAGTGCTGGCATGCCAGTAATCCCTTTAGGGTCGTTTTTTAAAAAATAAGTCAAGGGGTTTACTCTCCGGGAAGCGCAGGTAACTAGAATAATGGAGAGGAGGAAGCGCTCAGCCTTGGAGGCTGCAGCATCCAGAGGCAGCAGAGGAGGACTTGGGCAAGAGACTGAAGGAGAACCAGCGAGTGAGAAAAGCCAGATACAAGTGATCACCAGAGCAAAGTAAGGCAGGGGCGGGAAGGCAGAAGGGCCTGCGTGTGGGAAGCTGCTGCCTGCGAAAGTCCTCCTGAGGATCACTGTGAGTTCGAGACCAGCATGGGCTACACAGTGAGTTCCAGGTCAGTCTCACTACACAGTGAGACCCTGTCTCAAAAAAACAAAACAAAAAAAGTCCTCCTGAGTGTACCTCACAGGGAGCAGAATGCCTGGCACAAGGGACCTTAAGAGAATGCCGCCTAGAACATGAGGTCCTGGGTGACAGGAGGGGAGGAGAGAAGAGGCAGAATTTGGAAAGACAAACAAGGAGTTTGGCTCTGTGCCCTTTGTGGCAGCTGGAACTAAAATGCCTGGCAGCTTTGACCCCTGTGACCCAAAGCCCGGAAGACTAGCTCTTGCCTCCCTGGACAGGTAATGGAGCCAGGCTGCTGTTCCAGTCACCACCTCAAACCACTCACATCCCAGGTGTCCAGGTCTCCTCCCTGTCCACGCACACGCGCCGATCCCCTGGCCTGGCTCCTGCTACTTACTCCTGGCCTCCAGAGTGAGGAGGAGGGGCCAGGACAGCCAAGTACTGTACCAGCCTCAGCCTTCCAGGCAACAGCGGCATCCTCATGCCCATCCCAGCCCATCAGGGGCAGCTTGCTCTGATTCTCAGCTTCAACTGTGGGCAAAGGCCTGTGCTCAGTGACCCCAAGGGGACACTGCAGCCCACAGGACAGACAGCTGAACAGGCAGAGGGACACTGAGGTCATTATTGCTGGAGCGGGGTGCTGTGGTCCCTTTGCACATCTGATTCTCATCTATCCTCTCCGTTTCTGCTCCCACTGGGCCCCTGGCCTCCACCAAAGCACCTCAGGCTTCCTACTCCAAGTTTCCCCTTCCTGTCCCTGGGGCTCTGAACTCGTCACTCTTTGGGTTTCCTACCACGTGGTCCTCTGCACCTCTTCTCCTCCTCCTTTGTGGTCCCTTAAATACTGGCCTCCTGGGGCTTTCCTGAGTTCCTACTCTCTTCTCTCCAACCCACCCTGAAAGGCCTCATTTGTTCCCCTCCCTTCAGCTGCCATCTGCTAGGCCAAGACAGGCCTCCCACACCCCTCAGTAACACAGTTAACAGACACTGGATTTCCTCTCTAACCATGAATAAAACAAGTACATATGAGCAGTAATTCTCAGACACAGCAAGGCAGGCAGGTCAGAGACTCCTGAGAGAAGCTCTACAGCTGCCCCAACTCTGGGCTGCCCCCTAGACCGTGTCTGGAGTTGAGAATGTGGGGACACCAAAGAGAGTAGAATCTGCAGGGCAGTCTCAGAAGGGAGTGTTACAGGCCAGCGACCCCAGAACTGTTTTCTGTGAAGCTCTGAACAGCTAACAGCCTCCTGGATGTGCAGATGCCTCCACTACCAAAGTGAGGTGTGGCACACCTGTCCCTCCCCTCTGGACTGTCCCATGTATCACAGGCTTGGTCCCCACCCTCGGGGTTACTGGGGGTAGGATCATTAGGAGATTTGGGGTCACTGGGGCCGTGCCCTCACAGGGAACAACAAGACCCTGGCATTTTCCACACCCACTTTTCTGTCCCAGCCAGGAGGTGAGCAGCTCTGCTCCTCCACTGTGATGTGCATCACAGGCCCCAAGCAGCAGAGCCATCAGGCATGGGCTGAAACCAGGATCAAGCTTTTCTCTTTTTTGGGGGGGTACCAGGGATTGAACTCGGGTCTTTGCGCTTGCAAGGCAGGCCACTGAACCGCTGAGCTAAATCCCCGGCCCAACCTTTTCTCTTTATAAGATGATCTCTTCAAGTATTGATACAGTGACAGAAAGCTGACCGACACACTCACTCTCTTCCAGGCTCCTGTTACTTCCTGACCCCCAAATTCCTGCATCAGGTCACCTGCCAATCCCAGGCCCTTCTCCCGCTCTGTGATCACTCAACTCAATCCACTTCCCTGAACCTGAGACCACACCCCTGACCCCACCAGCTCCCAAGGGGTTCCCTATCCCCACTCCTGCTTCCTCCAGTTCTGCACAGCACTGGGTCTTCTAAAATCCAAACCGAGCCTTTTAGTCTCTACTGCCCCCAGGCGGAGTCCACACTCATTAGCTCACATGACCTTTTGTCCCCAGCTCCTGCGGATTCCGGCTGCTCAAAGCCACACACTCCCTGGGGACCTAAGGTGTTCTGCCTCTATTGCCTGGAGAGATCCTTACACTGCCTTCTTGCCTCTCCTCACTCTTCCAACCTTAGCTTGGGCATCACCTCCTCCAGAAAGCCTTGCATGCTTTTCTAAGGCCTCCTGTGTGCTCTGACAGCTCTCTTCAGTAGTAATTACTTTGTGCAGATACTGCCAAGCACACATCTCTCCCTAGACAGTAGGGACTATATTCTGTTCAGCACCCCATACTGTAAACATCGGATGGAGTAGACGGAATGAGAAATGGCCTGAGAGAGAACAGGTCTTGAGCAAGGAGGGGCTCACTGGGAGAAGACAGATGACGCTCGGGCCGTGGAAGGGGAGTTGTGTGTGGGAGGAGACTGCCCCACCTGCCAACCTGGTAGAGGGCCCGGCTCACCTCACAGTGGTAACACTCCACGTGGTAGTCTCTGTCCATGGACACCACACGGATGGTCGTCTCACAGCCCTGCAGGAAGAGACGGGATTCACACACAGTAAGCACACCGGGACTCTGGGCAAACTGTACCAGAGCACACATCTGCCCAAAGCTGCCTTGTGGTGGTGGAGATACACTCAGCCCGTGTGAACGTGGGCACGGTGCTTCCTGGAGCCAACCAGGTAGCAGCAGGTGACATTAATGGACATGCGTGCACCTTGGCCATTGCCAGGCCTGCTCACCAGGCAGCAGGCTGGGACAGACCCAGCTCATGTAAGAGACCCTAGGTGGCCTTCCTCACCCTCTCCCCAGCCCACCCTGCCTCTACCTGCACAACTGAATGACAGGGGGAAGCCTTTCACCCATGGATAATGGAGCTGAGGCAGCACCAGGGCAAGCAGCAGGGCCACCTCTTTCCTCTAATTCATGCCAGGGGCACCTGCTTGGGCACAGTAGTCATCCCTTATCCCTGATAGATGTGAAGCAAGGGCATCTGCTCATCCCTCCCACCGAGGCCCAGGATGCGAGGTGGACCAGACAGGAGCAGGCAGAAGCCAGCAGAGTCAGGTACCTGATCGTCTCCAGGTGAGTGGTTCCTACCTGTGCAGGGAGGATAGGACGGGCACAGGAGGCACATTTTGGTGCAAAAACCCTGAAAGAACAAAGGAAACCAGAAGTGACCATCTGAGTGACCAGAGGCCAAGGGCATGAGGACAGGTCCACCCCCAGTAGTCCTCTGTCCTTATTTGGATGCCCGGGAGGAGGGGCGTGGTAGTGGCGTGCCTTGGTAGAGGCATGTCACCTGGCTCCCAGTTCATTTCCCCCACTACTTCCTGTAGATGGCACCAGGCTGTGTCCTGCCATCTCCTTCATGCTTCCTGTGAGTTCCCTGCCCCTTAAGATCCAGATTTAGGCAACCATTTGCCAAGAACCCTGAGGGCTACCTAACACCTATCCCAATACAGGCAGAAGCACAGGAACCTGAAGCAAGCGGAATGGACCAGCAGCCTACATGAGCACCAGACAGGTAAGGGCTAAGCCCCATGCCCAGGTGGAAGAGGCCGGGCTCTAGGGGCAAAGGGCTAGATGGAGGGTAGGGCAGTCAGGAGAGACCCTTATCAGGAAGAGGGGCAAAGACCAGGAGAAGCAGCAGCGGATGTTTGAACCACCAGAGAGGTGGCGATCCATGCCCTGCCCCCACTTCTGAGTGCCCAAGAGCAGTGCCCAGGGGAGGCGGGGAGGCAGTGTGGGTCACACCTGATCGGCAGCACCATCAACTCACGTGTGGTAGTCTCGGACACAGTAGATGTTGTTCTCCACGTCCACTGTGAAGGGCACCCCGTCCAGGCACTCATTGCACACGGAGCACCGGAAGCAGCCTGGGTGGTAGGACTTGCCCAGAGCCTGCAGGATCTGGGGGTGGGAGGGGGTCAGTGGGAGTGGGTCTCAGCCACGCCCCCTAGAGAGGCTCAAGCTCTAAGCATCCCCCCTCAGATCTGCCAGAGGTGAAAGGGGGTCCTCAGACTCCTCGCCAGAGGGGATTAGGAGTTTGGGGAAATTCTCACCATCTCCATGATGAGGTGCCCACACACACTGCACTTGTCAGCCGTCTGCTGGAACCCGGAGTACTGGGAGGGGACACAGGATCCAGGACATCGTGGGACAAAGGGGCACTCCGTGCCCAGCCAGCTCCTGCCTCCTGGCCTCAGGTCTCCAGGGGAATCAGAAAGAAGGTCCCGCCCCAGCTCCCACCTGTAGCACAACCTGGACTCACCAGAAAGTCTTCCTGGCAGTACACTTTGTCGCCCACATTATAGAAGGCCTTCCCGCGGAGCCGTCTCCCTGTAAGGACCAGGGCTTACAATGGGTTCCCTGAGGTGCTAGAACCAGAGATGGAATCTGGCTGACCTCTATCCGGTGAGACGCTGGATTAGGGATGCATTTGAAATCTCTCTTTAACGTTTTGTTATTATTATAATAAATACTTCCCCCAAATTAGAATCGTTGTCAAGAGAACTCTGGCAAGAGATTGTCAATGCAAATATATGACTATTCTGTGCTGGGTGCGGGGAGGCACACCTGCAATTCCAGCACTCAGAGGCCGAGGTGGGAGGATCACAAGTTCAAGCCCAGTCTGCACAACTTAGTAACTTAGACCCTGTCTCAAGATAAAATAATGAAAAGATAACAATAACTAGAGAATGGTTGAGTTCAAACCTCTGTAGTGGAATCATAAATAGATAAATAAATAAATAAGTAAGTAAGTAAGTAATAAGGGGCCCGGGGATTTAACTCAGTGGTTTTTGCCACCTGCCTTGCAAGTGCAAGGGCCAGAGTTTGATCCCCGGTACCCAAAAAATAAATAATAAATAAGTAAGTAAGTAAGACTAGAAAGGAAGAGGTAAAACTATCTTTAATCACAGACAGAATGATAGTAAATCATAAGCTATTTATAAGAAACCACTAGGATAAGCAAGTTTAGCAAGACTGTAGAAGAGAAGACCAGTATAAAAACTGCATATTTTTAATATACTAACAACAAATGATTGGAAAATAAACTAGGAATCTTAAAATTATGCTTACAATGGCATCAAAACACATAGAAGAAAGTCTAAAGGATTTAGTTTAAATAGCTCATGTCTTTTTTTAAGATGAGACCCAAAATGTGATAATGTAATGAGCAAAATAAAAGATAAGATAGTAGGAAACAATCCCTGGTACCAAAAAAAAAAAAAAAAAGAAGAAGATAGTAGGAAACAGGGCAACAGATCTTCTGCAATTGGGAAGAAAACCAAAAGATGGAGGAAGGAGGGAGGGAGAAGAAGAAGTAAAAAGAATTACGGTGTGTTATTTATTTGTACCAACTCCCCACAATGAAATCATTACATATTGCAAATGGTTTTGGTTTTGTTTTGTTTTGTTTTTTTTGGTACTGGGGATTGAACTCAGGACCTTGTGTTTGTGAGGCAGGCAGCAGAACCACTGAGCTAAATCCCTGGCCCACATATTACAAATGTGTACTAATAAATAAAAACCATTAAAGAAATATGAGTATGACCATATACTGTAAAATCAAACTTTGCTGAGATTTAAAAATACCTACATATATAGAAATTTATACTATCTATTGCTGGGAGACAATTGTCCACTGGCTCTCTCAAATTTCTGAACATCTCACAAATACAGTACTAAGAGCTCTCATCCTGGATTCTCTTTTCAAGAATGTCTGCAGAGCAGATCCTTAGAAGACAGAAAGAACATTTCTCTTAGGAGCAGAGGGCAGGTTTGCCTGCTGTCCGGTATTTCAGATAAAATGTTTCTCCAGGACAAGGGTCAGGCATCTTTGCTGGCAGCCTATTATAAAACATCGAGGTTCCCAAAGCTGACGGTGGCAGACGCCTGTGGTCCCACTACTTGTGAGACTGAGATGGAGGAGCACTTAAACCCCGGAGTTCAAGACCAGGTAGGCAACACAGGGAGACCCTAACTCAGAAAAAATAATACTGGAGTTTCCTAAACTGTATCCCTGACATACACTCTCCGGGGTCACACCATGTCACCCCCATGGCACTGTAAGAGTAGGTGGACTGAATCGAACGTGAAGCTCATGCTGTGAGTCTCTGACCCAAGACTTCGACTCATCTGTGAGCATCAAAGAAAGTGGCAAGAAACTGCCAGCCTCCACGAAGAGTGAAACCTCAGCCCTTCACAGTTCATGACAACCAGGGCCATAGCTTCAAATGTTATAACACTGCTGAGCATAAAGGTGACACAACCCTGTCATCCCAGCACTCTGGGAGCCCGGGGCAGGAAAAACATAAGTTCAGGGCCAGCCTGGCAACTTAGCCAGATCCTGCCTCAAAATTTTAAAAGGGGCTGGGATGTAACTCAGTTCAAAGGCCCTGAGTTCAATCCCCAGTACCACCAAAAAATTTTTAAATGATATTAAAGCCAGGTATGGTGGCACACGCCTGTAATCCTAGCACTCGGGAGGCTGAGGCAGGAGGATCACCAGTTCAAGGCCATCCTGGGCTACATAGTGAGTTCAGAACCAGCCTGAACTACCAAGAGAGACCCTGCCTCAAAAAAAAAAAAAAAAAAAAAGGTATTAGTTCTCTCTAAATAAACCCAATGAAAATTTCATTGCTTTTTTTTGTAGAAACTGATGTCAATCCTAAAATTTATATAAAAATGCACATACAGGGCTGGGGATTTAGTTCAGTGGTTCTGGCGACTGCTTTGCAAGCGCAAGGACCCGAGTTCAATTCCCAGTACCCCCCCCAAAAAAAGCAAATACAAAAATGCAAAGGATCTAGAAAAGCCAAAATAATGTTGAAAAAGAGCAACCAACCTGGAGGACTTACCCTACCTATTTTGTACATTTATAGTAATCATGGCAATCTAATATCAGGATAAGGAGAGAGAAAAAGCTCAATGAAGCCAGGGATTTAGCTCAGTGGTTCCACTGCCTGCCTCGCAAACCCAAGTTCGATCCCCGGTACCAAAAAAAAAAAGCTCAATGAAATAGAATGAAGTTCAAAATTGTACCCATAAATATTTCAACAAACATAAAAGATGGAAAGTGTTCATCACATGGTACTGGAACAACTGGATATCTTTACAGGAAAAATAAAATCTCACTTCACACAAAACATAAAAATTAATATGCAATGAGATACCAACCTAAAAAATAGTTAGCAACCTAAAATACCAGAAGAAAATACTCTCTGGCTACCTCTGTGGCTAAAGGAGAACAAAGACTTCTTGTTTTCTTGGTTGTAGCCAAGATTGAACCAGGCCCTCTAAACCCCTCACTGCCTCATGCATGCTGGGCAAGCACTCCGACACTGAGCTACATTCCAAGACCTGGTTTGGTTTTATTTTATTTGGAGATAAATTTGCACTAAGTTGCCCCAGCTGGCCTTGAACCTGTAATCCTTTTGGTCAGCCTGAGTAGCTGAGATTATAGGCATGTGTCACCATACCCTGTAGGATGGACTTTTAAATTACAGAAACTCAGCTAGGGCTGTAGCTCAGTGGAACATCACTTGCCTAGCATGTACAAGATCATGAGTGTAGGCCAGGATTTAGCTCAGTGGCAGTATGCCTGCCTTGCAAGTGCAAGGTCCTGAGTTTGATCCCCAGTTGTGGGGAGAAAAAGACCATGAGTTTAATCACTAGTACAGAAAAACAAAAAAGTGGGCTGGGGATTTAGTTCAGTGGAACAGATCCCTGGTACCAAAACAAAACAACAACAACAAAAGTCACAGAAAGCAATAACCATAAAACAAAACAAAAGCAAAAGACAAATTAGGCTTAATCCAAATTTTTAATTTCTCATCAAAAGACATCATTATGTGGTATTGCATACCTGTTATCTTAGCACTCTGGGTGGCTGAAATTTGCAGTCCAACTCAGACAACTGTGACTTACCCAAACCTTGCCTCAAAAAAATAAAAATTTTTAGAGCTGCAACTCAGTGCAAAGGACCTGGGTTCAATCCCCAGTACAGGGAGGGAAAAAGAATCAACATTAAAATGTGTGTGTGTGTGTGTGTGTGTGTGTGTCTTTTTGTCATACTCTATGCAGCCCAAGCTGGCCTCAAATTCACAGCAATTCTCCTGACTCAGCCTCCTGAGTGCTGGGATTATAAGAGTGCACTACCAGGCCCAGCTAAAAATATTTTTAAAAGTGAGACATGGTGGCATACGCAGGAGGCTAAAGCAGAAGGATCACAAATTTGAGGCTCTCATGGACTACCAGGAAGATACTGTCTCAAACAACAACAACAACAACAACAAAACCAAAACTAAATCACATTAGGAGAGGCTGGGATTGGCACGGCAACAGAGCATTTGCCTAGTATATCCAAGGCCCAGCATTCATTCCCCAGCCCTGAAAGAAAAAAAAAAAAATCATACTAGAGGAGACAAACACAAAATATCCACCAGGGCCAGGGATTTAGCTCAGTGGGACCGCACCTGCCTTGAAAACACAAGGTCCTGAGCTCAATCCCTGGTACAAAAAAAAAAAAAAAAAAAAAAAATAAATAACTTCTACTCATAATAAATAAATACATATTCCTAAAACTCAGTAATTTAAATAATTATTAAAATAGCTAAATTATTTTAATTTATGTCAATTAAATTAAAACAATTAAAAGACAATTCCCAAGGTTTAAAAAAATTGGTGGGGGAAATCCTTGAAATGACTTCACAAAAGATTTATTAAGGGCCAAGAAGCAAACAATAAGATATTAACCCTCATTAAACATCAGAGAAATGCAAATTAAAACCACAATGAGATACCACCCATTAGAATGGGTAAAAATTAAAGGCAAAAATACCAATTGTTGGCAAATATGTAGAATAAACCAACTCCCTTACATTTCTGGTGCGAGTATAAAGTGGTACAGCCCCTTTGGAAAACAGTCTGGCAGTTTCTTCTAAAGTTAAACATACACTTACCCTATGACCCAGAAATTCCACTCCTTGGAATTTACTCAGGAGAAATGAAAACATATGTCCACCAAGTGAACTCTACAGGAACAGTCGCAGGACCACAGAGGATCACCAACAGTTAAGGGGGTAAGCCAACTGGGGGGGAGTCATCCAATGGACTCCTATTCAGCAATAAAGGAAGAGGGAGCTGGGCTAAAGAGGACTAATGAGGGCTGAGGTGTGGCTCGGTGGTAGGGCACTTGTCTAGCATGTGCAAGGGCCTGTCCAGAGAGCACACACGCATACACATAAAGACCATATCACAATATACTGCATGAATAAAAAGTATATCCGGGTATTCATACAAGAAAAATATTCATCTCATACGGTTTTTTGTGTGTT